CGCTGCGCTAACCACTCGTCCACCGTGCAGCCCAGTTTGAAATATACACAGCCCATTCACAGCAGAGGTTATCTCAAGGCACTTTACACATTGAGCAAGTCAGGAAACACACTTCTCATACATGAAAGAAAACCACCGGGATCCCACATGAGCAAGCACTTGGCAGCGGAGGCTAGGAAAAACTCCCTCGAAGGAGGAAACCTCAAACAGAACCCAGGCTCTGTGGGGCGACCGTCTGTCTCGCCCGATTGGGCGCAACAGCAGCCATATCGACAACACGAAGAGTCCCAGGAACACAAGTCAGCCCCCATCTCGCGCCACATACGTGCTCTGCATTGATGTTAACACACAGAACGTATCAAAATGCTCTTAACGTTGAATGTAAAAGGGCTTGACCGCGAAGTCTTCCTCTCGGTGAACTTTCCACAATAACGAGCAGCTAGCTCACGCCACTCATTATCTATAAACGCTACCTATTAATTTGCCAACTTAGACGGCGAGTTTGTGGAGCATTCACTCCGCTGCCAAGACCTGCGTTATGGTGTGCTGAATGTCGAATCACCTGCCCCTTTGCGTGGCAGCCCGTGTGCGCTGGTGCGTTGAGGAGCAGCTCGGAAATGCCTGCGCTGGCTTGTTTGAAGTGAATTGAATTGTTTTCGTGGCTGTAAAAGTGTCCGCATGTGCATGAATGTGAGGCATATTTAGATGGGGGATATATTTGGGGTTGCAACTTCCTGATTTGCTTGCCCTTTTCGGGCACTTCTAAACTGTTGCGGAGCTGATGCTGCCCTTCCGTATCTCATTCACACACCGCCTAAGTCAAACACTTCCAACATTATTCTTTCCTAAATTATTTTTATCAGCAGATTTTAGGCTGAGTTACAGAATATTTTAATCTTACATACCTGACCCTACATGCAAAAAGAAATCCATTAATGAAAAACGGCACTTTGGGGAAAAAAAAAAAAAAGAACCCGACCCTGAGTGTTTCCAAATCTTCATGCCAGCTACCCAAATACACGACGATGTCGTCAAAGTAAAACTCACAGTTTTATGCATGAGTCTTTGAAATTTGGCCGATGCGCTTTGGAGGCCGAATGTCATGACGCTATGTTGGTAAAATCCATCCGGGGTCACAAAAGCGGACATTTCTGATGCATGCGGGTTAAGGGGAACTCGCCAATAACCCTTTAACAGGTCAGGTTTGGCTACTAATTTTGACGCACCAACAAGGTCAACGCAATCCCCCATTCGCGGCAGACGATATGAGTCAGGCTTAGGAATGTTGTACAGCATTAGGGGGCAAGAGTGATTTCCCGCCCGGACGAGACCCTAAATTTATGTGATGCACCCGTCTGTCTAGGGTTCGGTGCATTACATAAACGGGAAGAAAATCACTCTCGGTCCCAAAGGGTGTGTTGAAAAAAAAAAAAAAAAACGGCCCGAACAATCATCAAGGTATCTGGTTTAAAAGAACGCAAATGAGCCAAAAGGCAAAAATGTTGGTACTGAATCGCGATTTCCAGCGTATCCAACAAAAAGGTCAGGAAAACGGATCAATGACAAAAGGCAACAAGAACTGGCACGAAGGATCTTTAAACCTGGTGCCGTTAGTTGTTGGCCAATCAGGAAGGGCCGCTCCTTAGTTTTCGCAGAGATCCTATTCTAGACAGGAGTACCCACTCCCAGTGCCATATCAATTGGATTTCTTGCAGGCAAGATGTGTCTTTTCTCTTTTTCGTCTGCCTTTTTTTTTTTTCCCCCCAGCGTCGCTGTTCTTCATGAAAGGAAAGTTGGGCTTTGGATCAGAGGCCAGACAGCGTCTTGTGTGAACGGGAAGCAGTGGAAGCTGAAACAGGGTTGTGAACTTTAACACCTGACACTTCTCGCACCAACTGGTGTGTTGAAAGTCACGCCCCATAAACTCAAGTCAAGAGTGGCCAGACACAGCTAAGCACGGAAACAGGGGCTCCGCGTTTTCCAGCGGTGTTTCATTCGATCCGGGTTTCAAGTTTTTGATATGGTTTTGCTGGTATGTCATTGGAATAAAACCACACATCGATGGTTAAAAAAAGGGGAGATTTTGTCTTTGGGCTACATCACCGAGCTCGAGGCATACTAATTTGAGTCGGCACACACATCCTGCGGTTACTCCGACAGTGTGTAGTAATGATGTGTGTGTGTTGCCTGTGTCTCATTTGCTGACCTTAATGAACTCCCTTGGTCACTGGTGCCATAGCAACAGTTGCCAGGACTTCCAGACAGTGAGATCACTATTAAAAAAAAAACTCTTAAAAGTTTGCGCTTCAAAAATGCCCCACATAGCACAATTAAGTAACCATAACAAGCAAATGCACAAACACATTCATCAATTTTCACATAAGAATTAGTTATTGTATAATTTTTAAAATAAATAATACAATTGAAATGAGAATGAGTGGTTGCTTTATGTTAGGGCAATGGTTCTGAACCTGGGTTGGATCGAACCGCAGGGGTTCGGTGAATCTGTCTTCGACGGAGCCTCTGCCATGGAGGTTAAGACACACCCAACTCAACATGTCAATTAGTTATGACACGCCCGATTGGCCATCATTGGCTGATTCATTTTGTGCACAATTAAAAAAACATATGCTTATGTCTTGAAATTGTATTCAAGTTTTTTTCTGTTTTTAATAAATGCTTTTTTTTTTTTTAAAGTATTGAATTTGTGAAAAAAAATCCTATTTTTATTTTACACTAATGAGGTGTTCGGTGAACGTGCAATTGAACTGGTTGGGTTCAGTACCTCTAACAAGGTTAAGAACCACTGTGTTCGATGGTCTGGCCTGTTTGTCCCATTTTGGAACTCAAATGTGGCCCTTGAGCACCAAAGTTTGCCCCGACTAGCTCTGAAACCTCCAAGCTAGCAAGCCTTTGCTAGCCGGTGCATTAGTTAGCATATGTAAACCGCCACTTCCTGCTTGCTTGCATGGCAGCCGTGATGATTAGTGGTTAATGAGACGGAATCCACCAGCACGTCGCCTTAATAAAGTTGGAGTCCGACGCAGCAGTCATGGCCGCACACAGGCATGCGCACACACACTGAAGCCCAAAGAGGCAGTGAAAGATCAGCACATTAACTAATTAGCCTGCCGGGCTGAGGGGCGACACCAGAGAGGAGCGCTCGACAGATGGACCTGTGTGTGTAATTCTTGAAGTGCTCTTCAGTGTCATTTGACCATCCATCAACCTGCCAACTTTGACTTGTTATTTTTGTATTCATTTACCTCCGGCGAGGGCATTTTTAGCCAGGTATTCCGCCTCCACAGCAACAAATGTTCAGATGTAAAAGAGGCGTTGAGAGTAAACAGTAGGCCATATCACATTCAGTTCAATCACAGAATATTTTCCCCCCGATCCAATTTCTATTTGTAATGATTTTTTTCCCTCTTTGCTTCGAGGAAGCAAATGGAGTCATATGAACATGGGCTTTCTCATTGAGGCCACTTTTGTCCTGTCTGGAGGAAATCAAAACCTGGATGGCACTGAATTTCCATCTCGAGAAGGCAGAAGTGATTTAAGGTGTTTTGTCCCAGCGGCCCTCGTACATCCCATCCGGTGGACTTGGGCCCCCTGGCTCCTTATCGTAACAGTCTCCAACTTGGGTCTTAAAGTGGACAGTGATTTGAAATTGTTGCTGTTGTTAAATCCAGCTTCCTTCATCTTAGGCAGCTGACCAAAGTAAGAGCACTTTGAAACAGTCATTCGTGCCATCGTCACATCTCGGCTGGATTACTGTAACGCACTTTGCTTTGGAGTCAGCCTATCCTCCATGAAGCATCTCCAGTTGGTCCAAAATGCCGCTGCTCGCCTCTTGACGGGTACTCGTAAGAGGGAGCGCAGAACTTGTACTTGTGGCATCCCTTCACTGGCTCCCTATCGAGTTCTTTTGAAAATCCTACGATTTGTTTTCAAATCTTGAAATGGACTCGCCCCACCTTACCTCCTCTGGGCCCCTCCTCCCCTACACACCTGCTCGATGCCTCAGGTCAGAGTAGAGTTTTCAGTGCTCGAGAAACACACTTGAGTTGAGTGATTAAAAACCCTACTAAACATTAACTAAGCAGCACGAGAGGGATTAATGTACTCACCAACCTTTTTGAAAGTGATTCAGTCACTGGTTCGGTCATCGTTTTACAAAGTCAAAACAAATGTTTGGAAATGTCATTTATTTGGATGAAACACAAAAGATAATCCGTTTCCTCTAATGAAGGACTACACAAATCATGGTTAAAATTATTATACAAATGTCAAATCCAAACAGTAGTGAGCTGGAACTCACCCGCCCCGCTAATGACGACATGCCCGATCGAAAATGGCAAGATGTATTAATTAGTTGCGCTATTTTTCAAAGGTTCCAGGGGGATTTTCCTTGCAAATGCACCGTCTCGGATGTTCTTGGAATCTGCCGGGGCCACCCGGCCGGTTTGGGATTCCCGAGAGCTCCGACTACCACGGGGGCATCACCGATGCCTCTACATACTTTCCATTTCTTCTGTAACTCCTCCTTCAACCGACTTGCATGTTCCTTCCTTCTACCGCACCAAATGCATTTTTCATTCTTAAAATTGAGGCGAAGGTGCTACCGTTGTGATTATTCACTCAAAAAAATGTCACAAAAAGTACATGTGCTGAAATGATCATAATCTTGTCTCGCTAATGGATTGAGTTACTTTTGGATCCTTTTAGTTGAATGCAAAGTTATTATTGTTCTGGTGCATAGATGGCAACGGATGCATACACCGGTTCGTTGGACCTTCTCGCGGAAGAGTGTTTTTGTTCTGCCTGTCACGATACCCGCATGTTGCTGGCAGATGAACAAAGATACGCTCTTTGTAGGGAATAATGGCTTTTGGACCAATGAAGTAAAGTTGGTCCATTTCCCAAGGCGCACCTTTTGATCTTCTGACTATCGCCGCTCGAAAGTTAACTTCTCGCTTGCTTTCTGCTTGTTTTTGCAGTCATGACCTGCTGACACTCTTCATCCACCCGTGGACAACTCCTCCTTCCTTTCCCGTCTTGTCCATCTCCCACCATGCTTCCCTCCCCCGTCCCCGCCCTCTCGCTCCTCTTGCTCTCCTGGCCCCTCCTCCTCCTCTGTGCTCCGGCGGCAGCGCCTCCCCCCCTGGTGGCGGCAGGTGGCCGAGCGGCGTACCGGGTGTTTGACACCTCCCTCACCCACCTGACCGTCCACAAGAGGACAGGCGAGGTTTTCGTCGGAGCCGTCAACCGAGTCCTCAAGCTGTCGGCCAATCTGACTGAGATGAGGAGTCACATGACCGGACCGGTGGAGGACAACGCCAAGTGTTACCCCCCACCTAGCGTCAGGGCCTGCGCTCACCGGTCTGTCTCACCCGATTTGCCGCGACTGTCTTGTCTGTTTGTACGTCCGTCTGCTTACTTGTACGTTTCCCCAGCCTGGACTCTTTGGACAACGTGAACAAGCTTCTCTTGGTGGACTACACGGGTAACAGGCTGGTGGCGTGCGGATCCATCTGGCAGGGCGTGTGCCAGTTTCTCCGACTGGAGGACCTCTTCAAACTGGGGGAGCCTCACCACCGCAAGGAGCACTACTTGTCCGGTGCCAGAGAGGCTGATGGGATGGCAGGTAGGCGGGGCTCCTCACACCTCCTTCACACCGGCGCCTCTCCAAATGCCGCTCGGGTTTCGAAGCCGCATTCGTGACGAGTGTCACGATCGGTTTGAAGGACTTGACAGATGTGAAGGATTGAGTAAGCTTCACGAAATTACAGGAATCCCTCGATTTACGAACGAGTTCCGTTCCTGCGCTGGCAACGTAACCCGTATTTCAGCGTAAATCGGATTTTACCGTTAAAGTTAAAATTTACGTCAAAGTAAAAAAAAAAAAGTAAAATATATTTTAAAAAATAATAGGAAGAAGATGCTGCTGAGAGCTCCGATTAGGCAGCCGCTTCCAGAACGATCCAGTTTCGTCCACGTTGAAAACTTGCTCCGCAAGATAACTCGCGCCATCACGGATTATCTTGGCTAGACGACCCGGAAAAACTGTGATAACCTTCTCTGTAGGTGTGGTTGTTGGCGAGGACGACTGGACCAATGACCCCAAGAGAAAGAAAACGGCAAAGGGCGGCAGCCGCCTCTTCATCGGCGCCGCCATCGACGGAAAGTCGGAGTACTTCCCGACGCTGTCCAGCCGGAAGCTGGTGGCCGACGAGGAGAGCGTCAACATGTTCTCGCTGGTCTACCAAGACGAGTTTGTGTCATCGCAGATCAAGATCCCGTCGGACACGCTGTCTCTCTACCCGGCCTTCGACATCTACTACGTCTACGGCTTTTCCAGCCGCACTTACGTCTACTTCCTGACGCTGCAGCTGGACACGCAGCTGACACAGATGGACGCCGGGGGAGAGAAGTTTTTCACCTCCAAGATCGTGAGGATGTGCTCCAACGATACAGAGTTCTACTCCTACGTGGAATTCCCTCTAGGATGCACCAAGGACGGCGTGGAGTACCGACTGGTGCAGGCTGCCTTCAAACAGAAACCGGGACGGCGCTTGGCTCAGGCACTCGGACTGTCGGAGGACGACGATGTCCTCTTTGTCATCTTCTCTCAGGTGATTTTTATTTTTTTTTTTTTTCGGTGCTTCTCAAAGTGGGGTTCGCCATCTCCCGCTGTGGGTGCTCAGTTTATTGAAGGCGGTGAAGTTCTTAGCAATGACAGCTTGAAATGGTGCATGTGCGTGTGTGTGTGTTGTTCAGGGTCAGAAGAACCGCTCGAACCCCCCCAGAGAGACCCTCCTGTGTCTGTTTACGCTGCACGACATCAACCTGGCCATGAGAGAGAGGATACGCTCCTGCTACCGCGGGGAGGGCCGCCTCTCGTTGCCGTGGTTACTCAACAAGGAACTGCCCTGCATTCATACAGTGAGTCACGTCGCATCTGATCAAACTGCAGCCACGCACGCCCTTATGTGTTACAGGTGTGCACTTATTTGCCCTGAAGGAGGCAAAAATCCTACCTGTCATGATAAAAGCTTGCTGACATCCTGAAGGCCGAATCCACTTGTCACATATGTAGCCAGTTTTTGCGGGCTTCCATTTACACTCATGGAGTCAGCACCGAAACACCTGGCTGCCAGATTACACTCGTTAGCAAATGGATGCTAACACTGCACTCCTGCTTACCTTTTGGCTTTGGTTAGGGATGGGTACCGAGGACCGTAACCTTTGGGGTAAGGACCGATATTGGTCGCTACGACCGATGACCGATTCTCGTGAAGTCACTTGGTGCTATGTTTTGGTTTCAAAGCACGATTTTCCATGGCGCGCTTGAACGCAGCATTATACGCACATTCGCGTGAAGATGTCACCCACTCAGACAGGTTTTCTTTCGCACACGCCAAAAAGACATTTCCAGGTTTGGAAGCGAGCGAGACTTGGCCGCCGCCAATAATTTTTTTTAATTAAAAAAAACGAACAACACTTTATTTATTGTTTATATATTTCTATTAATTTACATTCATTTATTGTTTATATGATGAATACTTTATTCATTGTAAAATGTCATACTTTTTATTTTGACTTCATCCTCTGGCTCATCTGTTTTAAATTGATTGATTATAAATCAAATTTTATGTATTGAAAATGAATGAAACCGGATGTGGTGGCGCTATCATGCAAATTGGCTGAATTGTGGAAAAGGGAGAGCTGCTTAATCGCAGACCAGCGGCAGGCTGTGCATTTGATACCTTGGCCTTCCGTGGGGATTCACCTGCCGTAATCACGCTCTTAATACCATCGCTGTCATGTCTGAATTCCAGCAAGCAGTAATGCTACACAAAAACTCAACAGCTGAATATGGTGGGAGCAAGCCTTGGTCCGATTTACCATTAGAAGACGGGAAAATGCTGACATTGTTCGGCACCCATCTGGTCCCGTGAGGTGAATTTTGAATATAACTGGTGAAAGAAACAGCCCCATTGCTAATATCCTTTAAGTTACATGGGTCAATACTATTGATTGCAAAGGCCGCGAGCAGATTCGATTGACTTGAAAGCCCGTAGAACAGGGGTGTCCAACCCCCGGGCCTCAAGTGCGGCTTGCCTGCACGTTTTAGATGTTTCCATCCTCCAACACACCTATTTCCAATGATTAGCTCATCAGGAAGCTCAACGGAAGCCTGGTGACGCTAATCCTTGGAATCAGATGTGTTGGAGGAGGGAAACATCTAAAACATGCAGGATGGAGGCTCTCGAAGACCAGATTTGGACACCGCTAACATAGAAGCTGAAATCTGATTGGATAAGAAGAGAAAAACATTCACAATGTGTAAACGCACTGGAAGCAGCGCAGTCCAAAAAAAATGCGATGAAATGGAATGAGTAGACTCTTTTTCATGGTGAAAAGAAATCATTTAGGTTGTAAATCTTTAGCCTCGTCATTTTTGAAAAATCTTTTTCTGAAAACAATGAACACATAAAACCCACAAAAAAATTCAACAAAGAATAAATGTGTTTTCAGATGAGCATGACCAACCACGGACAAAAAAAATATAAAATGTTTTTAGTAAGCACAATGATATTTACAATTGATACTGTGACCGTAAGTTAAAAATGACTTAGGCAGTTATTCTTTTAGTTGAACAAAATGTAGGTCAGCGCTTGTGATGATGTCTCGGCCAACAGAGAAGTCCTTGCTAGAACACGCTGTCCTCTCACCAACCCTATTTGGAAATAGTAAAAACAAAAGATTGGCCGAGTTGTTTAATTTGCTAAACTGGCTGGCCGAGCAGGCACTCCAGACAGGCCAATTATTTGTACACAACACATTCAGAAGTCACTTGTGCAGTACATCATGTGTCCCCCATTAAGAGAGCCATTGTGTGTCATGAAACAGTTGTTGTTTTTGTCAGCCCAAGCAGATTGGAGACGACTTCTGCGGCCTGGTATTGAATCAGCCGCTGGGGGGTCTACGCGTCATCGAAGGAAGTCCGTTGTTCGAGGACCGCACCGAGGGCATGGGCGCCGTGGCGGCATACACGTACGGCGAACACACTGTGGTTTTTGTGGGGACACGCAGCGGCCAACTGAAGAAGGTGAGCGCTTTTTGGATGCATTGGATCTGTCCACTTTTACGACATCAACGACAGACACGAGAGTACAATGGTGCCGTGAAATACAAGCGAGCCAGCTTCCGGGTTTTTTGAGACATGAGCCATCAATCGGAGGAATTGATTGGGGATTTGGATGCATTGGATCTGTCAACTTTTACGACATCAACTACAGACACGATAGTACAATGGTGCCGTGAAATACAAGCGAGCCAACTTCCAGGTTTTTTGAGACATGAGCCATCAATCGGAGGAATTTTTTTTTCCTTTGACCCGGGAGGAAACAAAACCAAAAAAAAAAAAAGACATGAGCGCTGTATGGTGGCAGTGAACAGAACTTAGCTCACCTGACAGCAAGCAGCACATAGTGAACGAATCTTTGAAAAAGAGGGTTGAAGCTGTTTTAATGACACTTCCTGTTAAAGGTTACTGTCAAACTAAACATAAAGCAAACAGAATTATACAGCCAAATGACGTTTGCAGTCAAATTGTTAGTGAAAGCAGGTTTGGAAAAAAAAAAGAAATAATCGAACGAATAAATTGTCCTGACAAGTAAAATTGATTACGTCTAATAGTGACACAGTGGAGCAGTGGACAAATTAACTTGTCACGGTCGTGTGAGAAATCAAACCTGATATCGCTTATCCACACCATTTGCAGTCAAATTGTTAGTGAAAGCAGGTTTGAAAAAAAAAAAAAGAAATAATCGAACGAATAAATTGTCCTGACAAGTAAAATTGATTACGTCTAATAGTGGCACAGTGGCGCAGTGGACAAATTAACTTGTCGCGGTCATGTGAGAAATCAAACCTGATATCGCTTATCCACACCCGAAGTACGTGTGTGCGTGCAGGTCATGTTTCTTGTGCGTGCACACGCACAAATCAAATGCAATGTCTTCCCCTACACACACACACACACACACACACACACACACACACCATTGTGTCAGGCCAAGGAATGGGGGGGGATCATGTGGGCTGTTACATACGAGACAGTAATAGAGTAAATGTATTTGATAGAAAGATAATGAGAGGACTTGTACTCTACCGTCAGCTGATTGGCTCTGAGAGTGTGTGTGTTCGTGTGTGTGCGCGTGCGTTTGTGTCAGTGTATGCGTGCGTGCGTGCGTCATCTTTTCAAAACAAACAGCACAGGGCAGGGAGGAGACACGCTGTACTGACCGCATGCACACACACACACACACACACACACACACACACACACACACACACGCTCGCATTTGTGTTTGTGAAGGGCAACTGGGGTGAAATATTTCGTGTACTTTTTTTTTCATTGCTGTACAAGACCAGGATTATAATGTGACTGTCATGGTCATGTCACTACATACAAACACGCCATGCGCCGGAAAGTTGTTGGTCACTAACAAATGTTTACCTAGTAGAGTGTGTGTGTGTGTGTGTGTGTGCGTGTGTGCGTGTGTGCGTGCGTGCGTGCGTGTGTGTGTGTGTGTGTGTGTGTGTGTGTTGGGGGGGTGTGGTGCATGTGTGTGTTCCCTTGGCAGCAGTAAGTGTCTATCATAAAAACATACATACAGTACACACAGCCACACACACACACACACACACACACACACACGAGTACACACAGGCACACACGCACTCAGTTGCTTGCATTCTTGTCGTCCTCTTGGCTCATTCCATTACTCTTTGTCCTTCTAACAACAATTTTTAAAACCCATAAACATTTTCCCCAAGGACACACATACAAACACACTCTCTCATAATAGTGTGTGTAGTCTGAATCGAAAAATAACCCTTTTATGGCGTGTCCGTGTGTGTGTGTGTGTGTGTGTGTGTGTGTGTGTGTGTGTGTGTGTGGTCAGCGGGCTGACACACCCAGTCTAAATGTGAACATGGGAGGAAACCCAGTGTGTGCCTGCCACACGCTAGTATCGCGGATGGCGTCACCGCACTCATGGAGCAAGCTACTAGCCTGGCAGCTGCATCGTGCCGCTAGGCCACTGGAGCTAGCGGCTAGCCTAGCCTCGGCTGGAAACAGCCACACAAAAGAAAGCATACTTATGTCCTTAAATTATGACATTCCATGGCCCGAAAATGGTCTTTTTCTTTGCGGAGCAGATTTATGTATGAATGACTTAATTTGAGGCGCAACTTTCTAATTTTGTGGCACAATTGTATTTATTTATCTTTATATTGCAGGTTAATCCCAGCGATCTGAAGCTTGGGTTTTAGTAACCGAAAAAAATATGACAGTATAATGAATGAGTAATTAGTTTCCTTTTTTTGTATAATCAATATTTTTTTCTCTTAAATATACATCGTGGATAGAAATAAACAATAATTCCTTGTCTCATGGTGTACAGTAATTCACTTCCGGTTTCCGGTTCACTTTGGCTGGTAGAATTTCTCTCCACAGCCCATTTTTTTTTGTATAATCAATATTTTTTTCTCTTAAATACACATCATGGATAGAAATAAACAATAATTCCTTGTCTCATGGCATACAGTAATTCACTTCCGGTTTCCGGTTCACTTTGGCTGGTAGAATTTCTCTCCACAGCCCATTTTTTTTTAATTTGCCTGCTCGTTTTCTGTGAAAAGTTGGGTGTTCGCCGCTTTAATGCAGTTGCAACCAGGCGTCTGTGAAAAATGAAATCAATGACCCAAGCACTTAATTGCGGTGAGAACCGTGCCAGCCGTGTCAATCTTAGGTTAACTGAGAAATTAGAATGGCTTGACTGTCAGATTCAGACTGCACCAGCTTCGAGTGGAGAAGAAAAGGGGCTCCTCCCTCTGCTCTGAAAGCAAAAAAAGTTTGAATCGATTGATCGTGAGTCAGCCTAGGGACTGTTGGTTGTGTTATGACTTTGGCTGCTGAATATTATCTTGGTTGGCAGTTCAACACTCATCAGATATGCCAACTTGCTGAAAGAACACAATTATATTGTCCTCGGTTGTTTTTATTTCATCACTCTCTGTGTCTGCTGTGAGTCGTGTCATCAAAGGAGCAACTCCACAACTTAGCCGCATGAGTAGCTAGTCAAAGCTTATTATTAGCTAACTGATGCCACGTAGGTCGCGACTTGAGCCCCGACCCCCAATTACCCGCAGTAGGTGTCGTGAGAGACGCGCGTGGATCCTTTTTGGGACCGCGATCGATTCTCATTTTTGCTATCACAATGTTTATGTTTTGATGAGGTTCAAAATGCAAATTTTGTCTTAATGACTGGTGGTTTCGAGCCTTCGACAATGATATTGTCCTCGGTTGTTTTTATTTCATCACTCTGTGTGTCTGCTGTGAGTGGCGTCGTCAAAGGAGCAACTCCACAACTTAGCCGCATGAGTAGCTAGTCAAAGCTTATTATTAGCTAACTGATGCCACGTAGGTCGCGACTTGAGCCCCGACCCCCAATTACCCGCAGTAGGTGTCGTGAGAGACGCGCGTGGATCCTTTTTGGGACCGCGATCGATTCTCATTTTTGCTATCACAATGTTTATGTTTTGATGAGGTTCAAAATGCAAATTTTGTCTTAATGACTGGTGGTTTCGAGCCTTGCAGTCAACGGAAAGCGATAGAGCCTGGTGGACTAGTAGTTACCTCACAGTTCTGAGGTTCTCCGACCTTTCTGTGTGCGACCCATTTTCAACACTTGAGGTTGGTCAGAAATTTGTACACATGTGGACTGACCAACTGCTTAGATTTGTGGGGGAAAAAAGTGGAATTGACCAAATTGCCGCACAGCAGTCATCCGTTTTAGACAGACGACAAATAATTAAAAAAAAAAAAGGTGGTGTGGCCATCAGAGCGTTTCGAGACCAAAGTGCTTCCTGCTGACTGAAAGAATTTGAAGAAAACAAGCAAAAATGACATATTTATTTTGTGACTGGAAGGTGGAACGCATCAGTTGGTGGTCTTGCTATTTATTATCCATTGTCTAAGTGTGTGTGTGTGTGTGTGTGTGTGTGGGTGTGTGT